GGGTGGGTGGGTTGGTGGAGAGATTAACCAAAGAATTTATATGCATCAATGCATAACCCATGGACACAGACAATAGTGTGGTGAAGGCCTGGGGAGGGGAGTGGGTGCAGAGTAGAAAAGGTGAATGGGGAAAAAAGGGAACATCTATAATATTTTCAACAATAAAGATAAATTTTCAAAAATTTTTCTAATGTTTTCTGTTTGTATTTTACTGCATTACTGTTTTGATAAAATATGGTAAATGCTATTGAAAAATTAAATAATGTACTAAAGAAGATAAAAATCATCCAAAACCCTACCATTTAGAAATAATGTGTTAATACTTTGAAAAATATTGTTTTTGACCTCTCTTCAAACACATATAGACATAATATATATGATGTTACAGTAATTATATCATGCCAAATCTATTCCTTAATATGTTTTTCTTTCAACAATATGCTGTGGTTATCCTTTTGTCTCAGTCATTGTGGATCTTTATCATCACTTTCACTGCCATATTGTACTCACTAATACATATCAGCAAAATTTTCATAGTCCATCACTGATATACTCTTAAAATATTCTTTTGTAATTTTTTTGTGGAATGTGGTTATCTTCTCCCTCTGTTAATCCTTCTAGCTAAATAAAAAAATATCTTTTAAAAAATAAAATCTATTTTTTAAAATTTACGTAGATCCTATTCATAAGCAATTTAAACATTTAACATGTTATATATTAACATAATATATATTTAAGTATGTTTTTATTTACAAATATACATAAAGAAATATATAGGTCACATAATAAGAAAACTGTAAAATTTTACTTCAAAACAAAGGTAAGACTTGAATAAATGGAAAGATAAGCCTTGTGTTAGATATGAAGATTCAATGTTGTAATAAAGCTAGTCTTTTCTAAATGAGTGCATAAATTTATGCAATTCCTATAAAATCCCAGAGATTTTTTTAATGATTCTAAATGTTATCTAAATAATAAGTGTGCAAGAATATTCAGAATAGGACAATTTTTAAAAAGAATTAGGAGCAGGGGAAGGAGAAGAGC